CGTTTATCTATATAAAAATTGATAGACAGTTTTTGATCGTATATCAACATAATCTATCATGTCTTTGATGAGTTATTTCTAGCATGTTTAACACTCTTCGTAGATGATATTTCATAAAAAGTTTATCGGACACTCTGTATATCACAAGAATGGAGTTTTTTTTTTCGGATAGTAAATTAATATCTATTCGATAATTTTTGTCTTAAGATATTTCTTATATTAATACTGAAGTATCGATATTATACATAGTTTTATCTATTGAATAATCGACAATAAACATTTAAATCTAATGATATATTGTAACTTTGTTTCTTCCAATTAAAGACTTCGAGTATGAATCATGTTAATATAATAGTAGCGAATGTTATTTTTGACTTTAAATAAAATTTCTTCAATTACCTATTTTCTATATTGCTTAATAAGACGATAGATATAGACAAATAGAAACTACTATAGTTTCATCAATTTGAATACATTTTAATGAAATATGATCTTGAAAATAAAACAAGCCATACCTTGGTAGTAACACGATCAAATTTCTTTTTCCATTGTTGTGTTCTATTCTCTACTTACAACAAGGTGATTTTTATTTTTCTTTCTGTTATAGAATAGTGAATAGAACTATTTTTAGAATTATGACTATTTTCACATTCTGAAATCTTCTTTATCAAGAAAAAAAAATCCAGTTAAAAATATGACATAAATAATACAAATATATTTCGACACAAACTTTATTGATTTGTCTCTTTATGTAAATGAGAAAAAAAAATATCTGACGCAATTTTCTTTTTTTTTTTTTTTTTTAATGAATTCTTACTTTTTTTCTCTTGTTCTTATCGTCAATGCCATAGAGTGCACGTTCGACTTTGATTGAATGAATTGTGTTTAATAACAAATAGCATACGAGTAAGAAAGAAAAAAAAAACCGAGTGCGCAATACGAATCACATTTTAAATTCTCCGTTTTTTTGTAGCAGATACATTACACTCAATAATGGACAAGGCTGTACATGATTTATATAAACAAACAAATGATGATCAACAGAAAGTTATAGCACCAAATGATGGTAGTTTAACATCAACACCGACAATAATAGAAACAGTTGATCAACATCCTATTGGTCAACAGGCAACAAAACCAGTGACTCAAGCTGATGCAGAAGCGAGTCCAGCTATAAAACCAAATTGACTTTCTAAATTTTTTTTCTTTTGTTTTTAAAAATAATTTTGTTTTTTTTTTGTAGATATAAAAAAACACAAAACTTGATATACGACAATGGATCATGCAGTAGTGGAAAATGAAAAACGACAAACAGATATTAAAACTGTAAGTGATGATGCTCGAACAGGTGCTACAAAAACAAATATGCAACCACCTGATACAACAACATTAGAAGGAACAATTGCTAACGAAGCTAATCCAAATACAAATCCACGTTAAATTGTACATTATAAACGTTTTTTTGAAAGACAAAATTTTACTTTTTTTTTCTTTGTATATATTCAACTAATAAACGATGGAAAATTAAATATTTTAATCAACTATTGAGGAATAAACGTTTTTTTTTTGTATTTGTCTTCATTAAAGATCATAAGAAGAGATGTGATCAATATTTAATACTTCGATAAGAACAAGAGTTCAAACCTATATTTAATTTGAGATTGTTCGATTATTATAAAAACCTATATAAATATTCAAAAGTCTCACTGCTGGCTTTATATATATTTATGTCGATACATTGAGCTATTCGAATGATTATTCTGCTTGACTTCTGATTTATTGAATCTTGTTTATGGTAATAGTATCGTGTATTTTGTTTTATGTATCTTTAAAATGACACCATCATGCATAAAAACTAACTGTGCGTATATACCTCTTTGGAAAAAAAAGTAGTAATTGTGTAATGAAGTTTTTACCAAATTAACTGAGAAAATTATACCGGAATATATTTATAGAGACTATACCAAAGAGATCACTAGAGTCGTAAGATGGAGTGGCAATGCATTCTTTTATTTAATAGTAGTGCATCTGCCCGGTAAGCACATAGTGCGAATTCTTCGAATGAGTGTCTTTTTATTCTATTTTGGTATGCACCATTTTAGAGTTGAGTTCTCAGATTCTTACAGCTTTTCTTTTCGAATCATTCAGGTGGAAAAATGATTTTACAGAAAAAAAAACACTGTAGTTTATATTTCCGTCTCGATATTCTGTTCAGATATATGTACTATCTTTTACTATTAACTATACGTGAAACAGATTTTTTTTATTGATGAAAATACACAAGAGGTCTACAAATATCCGATATAGCATTTGGCATACAGCATTAGAGATGAGTAATGTAGCCCTATCATACCCTGCACGGTAAGAGAAAGGTAAAAGAATAAGGAGTCATGGTATAGTTATGTTATTATTCGTTTTATTGATCATTCTCACAGGATTTTAGAATAATTATTTTTAGTAATATCTTTCGCGTGTGATTACTCTAATTTGATCGATTAAAATCAGTTATTACACTATATAATAAGGCTAAATCAATAGGAATTAATATGGATCTTTTCTTTTACTAATTTATGAGAGATTGCTTGTTTATTTATAGATATATCAAATAAATTATAAAAAATTTTGAAGAAAAAAAAAAGAAATATTGTCGTCTATTAATAGTGTCGGATTTTGAGGGAGGCTCTGGGAGTCATCGCCCTTTCATTTTGAACTATTTTTCGATTTTTCTTTCATTTACCAAAATCTTAGATCCGTCACTGTTTATTCAAGAAGGTAGATTATGTACAATGAAAAAATCATCAATAGGAGTATCTTGGTTGAATTTACTTCAAATAAAAGATTTCAATAGTTTATAGGAATCATTTGTTCACTGTACAATTTGTCAAGAAACATTATTGTACGATGTGAAAAACGGAACTAACTCGCTTAAAAACCTACAATACAAGGTGTGTGGGTTAAAAGAAGACCTGCGTCCTTGTGAATCATCCAAGTACTGTAAAATTAAGTGATAGTTTTATCATATGGCTCATATAAATTTTTCTTTCAATCATTCAACTCATTTTTAAAGCTTCAATAATTTGAAAATCATTATTAGACAGCATAAAATTTTTTTTAATTGTTAAAAAAGAAAACAAATCTAAATTCAATTGTCAACACGTTCACACATACACTTATTAATTTATAATAATAAATTCACTAGCATCATATGTGAATGTTTCTTAAGATAAAAATTAAAAAAACAAAAAAAAAGAAAAAAGAAGGAAGTCTATAAAAGAATGGAAGTTTAAAAAATTCCTTTATCAATATTCGTTGAAAACGAAAAAGATCAATTCAATTAAAGAAGTTTAACACTAAAATCTACTTCGACTAAAAGTCATGCTTTCAATCTGACACAATACGATTAAGATTTACAAAAATTAACAAAGAGAAAAAGAAAAACAACAACAACCAACGATAATCATTGAACTGAAACTATATCAGTTGATGAATTGTTTCGTAAACGTTTCATTTCATGCGTATCATTTCCTATATTAGGTTCTGATATTATTGAACGTTTTGCAATTCGAGCTGCTAAACCAATATCATCATTTTGTTCTGCATCATCACCAACAGCTTGATCAACAATTGTAGTTAAAACAGATGAAACTGTTTCTACCTCTTCTTGTTCATCATTACCTAAATCTTCTAATGCTTTCATATAAGCTTTTTTAAGTAAACATATATCAAGAAATTTTTGACCAGCACGACGACCAAATGCTGCTTTCCATAAACGACCAACTGTTGATGTTGATAAAATTTCAGCATCATTTTCCTCTAGAAAAAAAAACAAATATTTTCAATATTTGAAAAATATAAGAGATTCTTTTTTTAAATAGTTGAGATTGTTTAACACCATAGGTAACAAGTTACAGGCTATACTGAAAGTTTCGTTTATCCAATGGAAATAAAGCTACTCAATTGCTTATATGACTTAATGTAGAAGCTTAAAATCTTTGCATATACTCGAATAGGAAAGTCATATTTGTGTAGCATCTCGATCAAATATAATTAACATTGAATAGAAGACTAGTTTAATTGCATTTAGTGAACAGAGAATTAAATATGGATCGATTTTACTTCCGAATTTTTTTGATTTTTTCAACATGTATAAGACATTCGTCGTATCAAATAAAATCTACTATACGAATCTCGAAGAAATCACAATAATCCTGTTTTTATTATAAACAAAATTACGATTGATATGTAATCTATTATATACTAATAGGCATTTGAAATTCTACTACGTCTTATCACGAACCATAGCAGATGTTTTTTTTTCAGGCAGCACTGTAGAAAAAAAGGTCACACTGTCATTTATCCATCATAATATATGACAATCAAGATATTCTTTTTCCATTATCAACACATATTGACAATACATAATATATTTGTTTTCTTTAATAATAAAAGCTTATCTTCTAATGCAGTGTTTTACGTAAATTTTTTCGTCCGAAAGAACCAATCCGCTGTCTCCATGGCTATCAAACTAGACAAAACATTAACATGATGTCGCATTCGTATATAGTCCGATATCATGATATTTATTTTTAATTACCTTCTTGATCATCAATAAGTGTCATTGGTGTATTAAGAAAAAGTTTTGAATCAAATTGTGGTAATTCATCTTTATGTTCTAATAATTCACATAGATAAGTTTGTCGTTGTGATAATTCTTTAACTTGTATTAATAATTGTCTAACATAATGTTGTTCAAATATTTCTGAACGTTCTTCACAACGAAATTTAAATTTTAAATCTTCTTGATAAATTTCAATTGATAATAATCTTGATGATAAAAGTTTAGCATATAATTCATTTTCAGAATTATCTTGTTTAATTGAATCAATTGTTAACATTGATTTTAAACGTGTTAATACAGGTTGTAAATCACTACGATGAAATGATTTTTTACGTGGATTATTTAATAATTGTAAACGTTGACGAATTTTTTCTTCATTTAAATGTTCAAAATAAGCTGTACCATTTAAATAAAATGCAATTGATATTGAATTATCTGTAAAATGTGGTTGACATAATAAAACAAGATGACGATATGATAGATCATGACAACCAGCAAATGTTGATAATGTTGATGACATACGTATAAGACGTATAGGTGTTTGAGCAAATGTACGTGAACATGTTTCAGTAAAATCTTCAAATGACATATCTAAAATATAAATTATGAATTACATTTTTTATTTTTTTTTTGTTTGATTTAAAAAAAAACATTCTATGCTAAAGGACTCTTCCCAAAGCTAATTAACTGTTGAGCATTTTTTTTTTATTTTTCTTTTATGTCGAATCAAATGTTTTTTATAATGTTGATGAATAAGTTTCATTTTTAAGTATCCGTTTTTGATATTGAATATTAAGTTGTTCAATAAATATAAATGTAAGAATTGTATGTGGACCAAGACGAGCAAAATATGCTGTAAAACCTTTCCAAAAACTGAATACACCTTCTTGACGAAGAATACGTTGAAATATGTCCTAAAATATAATTAAAAAAAAAATATATAGATATGATAAATCATCAATACATTTTTAATATAAAATTTAATCATCAATCTATTTCAAGAGAACTTTATATTTATTTTAAAAAAATTCAGAAATTATTCGAAAGAGTAATGATCTGCTTAACGAAAGCTTTAAAAATTTTGTCTACGAGAGTTGAAATAGAGGTGACCTTATTGAATAGTGCAAGAAGAGTGAGAAAGCAAATATATGTTTCGAAGTAAAAGAAAAAAAAAAGACAGTATGACCGATAATGAACCATATATGTATGCGAATGAAAACGAAAAAGAAAAAGAAAAGATTCATGACCTATACATAGTATTCGACGAAAGAAAAAAAAAACGACATATGTTTGAACGCAAGTGCATTGACACAGCAAAGGACAAGCAATAATTTTTATGTACAAAAAAAAAAAAGAGAAGCAAGCAAGCTAAATATTTTGTAGTGAAATGCATGAATGATTATATAAACTATACAAAATTCAACATTTATGTATTATATATAGTATTAATCAAAAGTATCATATCAATAAGACTAATAAGGTACGTGAAGTTGTCACAGCAACCGACAGAATGAAAATGAAAAAAAAAAGGGCAACACAGGGGTCAACTATGTCTTCTCTATTCGAAGGACTCGAAAACTTATCAATCTATAAACTATGAATTAATCTTCACTTTTGTATGTAATTCACGTATTTATATTTATATTCAATTATTTTTCTATACGAAATGAAAAATTAGTAGACTTGAAAGTCTTGATAAAAAAAAAATGTCAAGGTTTACTTTTTAATAATAAAAATTATATCAATTGACTTTAAACCAACTATTAATATGCATGATTAATTCAATTTTACGATTCATATCATTCTGAGTGCATACGAATTATATAGTTGAAAGGCTGTCGTGACTTATTTTTTTTAGGATTTATTGGATCTTTTTTTCTATATCATATGTTGTAGAAATATTATGTTTTTTACAAAATTAATTTACCATTAGGTTTATTCTCAAAACATTATTGAATCACAATAGTTGTCATATACAAGCCCTTAACATCAAATAATTTCTCAACAAAT